CTCCGTATCGCATCCAGATAAGTCCGTGCTTGCTCAACACTTGGGATACAGCTAACATTTGACATATTCCTTGCCTTCTATCACCCACCACCTCTCATTTGACGCGACTAGCGACGCGTTCTTAGGTACATGTCTATTCCTATAGATTTATTGAATACACTAATACCGGCTTCCCACCATTGATATCCATCGACGCTGCCAACAACAACAGAACGCTGCAGACCACGCCGAGACATTACCGACATAGCCGGCAGCAGGTATGCTCATTGTTCCTGCTGCTTACTGCTACTAACCGGAGCACTCGTCTGCGCTTGCATTTGCTCAGCCTGTCACTCTAGTCGCCTACAGCTCATTGTTCAAGTGGCGGGCACATCCTGGTAAGTCGTCTTATCCAACAAACCCAACTTCGCCGCTCACGGGCTACATCTGTGCTGTTGTTGACTGCACCCCTACTCTTGCTTGCACTGACCATCATTGGTTAATGATGCCAGGCGCGGGATCCAACGCCAAACCCGGCGCCACGGTACCAATCACGGATCACCAGGACGCTCAGCCTAACCCCGATCAATTACATGTACTTGTGACTAATCTTGCCCACTCAGAAACGCAATGCGCCAGATACCGTCGAGCAGCCCGCGCTGACCAAGAAACAAAGGGTGGCAACGAAAGAGACGACAACGAAAGTGGTAAGTTGTTTCGATCTACTGATAACATGCTCTAACAATTTATGGGTCCCCAAGGGGAAAACAACTGGCACAAACACGGCGACCAACCGCACCGACTCCTGGTCAGCTAGCTATCACCAAGAGGTAGCTAGCCTATCTCCGCCCCCAGCTCTGCTCAGCCCACTCCAGGTCCGTCGGACGCGAGTGCCTTCCAACCTATCGACTTCCGCCAGCAAACCCCGCCGCCATCCCCCTATGCGCCCCCCTCCTCCTGCTAGTCTCTCAGCCCAAACGACCACGTGCGCAGCCAAGGTGGAATTAGTCAAATTGGTCAAGGGAGTCGCATTGGAGCCAAGCAAGTAAGTACGAGAACAGGTTGGGCGTTTTGGCACTAATTGTGAGCACAGGACCAAGTGCAGTGGTAAGGGGAAAAAAGGTGGCAAGTAAAGTAAGTATTAACTAAATGCTCGAATCAACCGACAAACTGATGGATTATTCACAGTCCCAGTTTGGATAAACCGCATACAACCTGCGGCTTTGGTAGCGTCGGTTTGATGCGTGTAAACTGTACGAATTTTCCACTGTCTATTTTCGGATTTGTCACTGTGGTTTCGGATCTTTCGTATGTAGCTTTCAGATTTTCCGCCGTGCCGGACTTTTTCGCATTTGTGCTTCGGACTCTCCGGAGTTTGGCTGCGGACTTTTCGTATTTTAGTTGCGGAATTTCCGCATCAAGTATTCGGTTTTGACGCATGTAACATCTGGATCATATCAATTAGAATGTATTTTTTCTATTCAAAACCCGCACGCAGACGAGGGGAAATCCGCACGCAAACTGAGGAAGATCCGCATGCATGCAGGGGGAAGGCCCGCACGCAAGGTGCGGAAAAGTCCGCAGAACCGCCTGCGGATTTTGCCAAGAATCCGCAGGCAAATTTTGCGGACTTTTCCGCATATATAACCGCACCTGAGCTGCGGGGTTTTCGCAGCTCAGGTGCGGTTCTCCTTCCTAGGTCGGCGCGGTTTCCTACCTTCGGAAAATCCGCACCTCCCGGGTTGACAGTGGTTGATGCAATCCTTGCGGCGAAAATGGGGTTGAAACTGGCATTCCCACCGACCCGCTCTAAGGCAACCAAGAAGGCAACAGGCCATTTCATCAATATCTTGGAGCAGTCGATAAAATGCCCGATGTAATCGCTGGGAGTGGGGTGACATCTCAAGGGCGCGTAGTGGAGTGGTTACCACGTTGGTCTTCGACGTGCAAGTCCGCGGATTTGCTAGCGTTAACCAAAGTTCGTCAGTTCGATCCTGGCCGCGCTCAACTGTGATATTTGTTTTGTCTCCCCGGTTGGGTCGATAACTCACATCAGTTGACCCTGCCTTAGGTTCCTTGGGCAGAAGAAACGATTGTCAGCGCACGTCTGTCCAGGTACTCCGAAGCGCGGACGAAAGAGCGCGGTGTTTTGAGTACTGCTATGGACTATGCTTTTGATTTGTTTCGTCGGTTCGATCCCGGCCATGCTCAGCGATTTTTTGCGATTCCCTTGATCCCAGAATGAGTCTGCATTGACTTGCGGAACACTTGGCAATCTTTTCAGATTTTTTCACTCTATTGTTTTTCGCTACTTCCACCAGCAGGCTAGGATATCAAAAACCAGCTATGAAGCGTTCATATCACCATAAGGGGCCGTTCATTCATAATTATTGCTTTTCTCTACTCGGGAGTGAGTATTTGATGGCGTGCTTTGGTGGTGTGAGGCAAGCCCGTGCTAACCACACTTCGGCGCTTGTTTCCACCTTATCTCCCGTTCTTAGACTTTTGCCCTCTAATGGCGCCCTCGTTACCCGCCCTCAACCCACATCCTACCATCACTCCTTAATTCATATAATACTTGCCTTTATGTACATAGTTAGCCATCCTCTAGTCGAGATATTTGCAAGCCATCGCTTTCACACAAGCCCCACCATCGCCGACGTTCGCGTCGTGGCCAACGCTGTGGCACTCTAAAAAGTCCGAACGCATGGCCTTTGTTTGGGATGACTGTTCGACCCACATCAAGCTGGGACCGGTTTATCATCACTATTTGCCCCAACTCTCGCCACTTGTAACTGACTTTGAACTGTATCGCCATGACGGTCAAGGCAGGACTGCCTGCGCGAGGACAAAGGGTGTGTTTCCGTTGTGTAAAAAGGGAACAGCCTGCACACAGTGTATCTAAGCGCTGAGGTTAGAGCCCTGCATACAGGCTCATAATTTCCTACACCGGGGCGGACGCGAGCTTTAACTGGTCTGAGTCACTTGCAATCAAGTGAACGCCAGAGAGACCCCCGTGGCGCCCAGTGTGATAGAAATGCCGACTTGCCATTATCTTCCTAGCGAACACATAGCCCAAACGCGCATGATGAAATCCACCCCACCCACGGTGGCCCTCCCAGTCTTGTCGTCATCCCAATGACAACCGGTATCGTGTTGCGGTACTGGAGTAGTAAATTTGTTTAAACAAACATCGAAATGGTATAAAATTCCAGGCTGAGTGGGTCAGTCCAGTATCAGCTCCTCTTCACCCTCTCGGAGAGTCGTCCGCCCTTCTGAGCATGTCACTTACCGCCCCTGCTGACCTCATTTCTTACTTCGGTCGAGTCGATACTCGGGCGCTCAAACAGAGTATCACAGGCGCATACATCTGCGGACCATGCCTGACTAGCGGACCACGTAACTGGTTTCTAGTGTTCACAGGCTCTAAGACTGCCTGGCATTTGCAGCTCGCAGTTAACTCGGGCGAATTCAGGCCATTAGTCTTCCCAGCACCTCTGGATGGCTTTGAAGCAAACTTTGCTAGTGGGCAATACGACCTCGCACGGATGGGCAAGTTTGAGACGAATGAGGGTGTAACGCTGCACGAGATTCTCCACTTGGTACATAAGCACCATCGAAGGTTTTCTCTCCCAAGCACACATCGTGGAACTCGCGATTTCTGTCTCAAGGTTTTAGCCACGCTCAAATCTCAATGCTTCTTCGCGGAGATAGACGTCGATAAGGTTCGCTCCAGTTTGGCAGATGCATTTGGAGAAATCCATCCTATTTTCCCGCTTCTGAGCCTGTAAGTTTCAATTGTTAGATGAGACTACTTGGGGCTCATGGCTGGTTTTGACAAAATCCTAGTGATTAACCATTGGTGGAAATCAGGGCAAGATCCAACCGTTCTCTTGCACATTTTCACCGCTAATTAGACTATGTTAAACTTACCATTTTTTTAAATTGCCTTGATTTGAACATCATCATAATAAGTTGAGGCACGATTTATAGCATCGGAGCGCAAGTCTATAGAGATAACTTGAAGTACGATACGCATGGCTCAGGTAGGTTCACGCCCAGGACTATGAGCATAATCAAACCAGGCGCGGTTCGCGGTAACATATAGCTTTATGATGAAGCTAACCGGTAAACGCAAGATTGAGAGCTTCGATCTGATCCTTTCGCATTGTACGGGCGAGCTCGCAAACCTTCGTTACCTCAGTGATTAGGTTCTGGTAGCTCAACCACAAAGTCCCCACTTACCTCGTCAGCCTGTATAAGGAGATGAGCTGCTCCTTGATTGCAAAAAGTATGCTATGAGAACTTTAAACTAGCAGGTGACTCGATCTAGCTCACCAGAGTATGTTTTTAGCTCGACTGGAACGCCATGCTCCTTGAGTTTCATGGCGTAAAGCTCTCCTGCGCTCCTCAAAACATCCATCTCTGCAACACTAATCCATGTCCGTGGCAGTCCTTCGAACGCTTCCGCTCTCTCCTGAAGTAATGGAGATGCATCTGGAAGGACCCGGTCGCTGGGTTCCGGAGTGTGCAGGTCCCGGGACCAGAGCAGATCTCGTGCATATAAGCCAAATACATTTGCATATTCGCGCATAGACTGCGACCAGGTTGAGGGGTCGGATGTGGGAGTAAGATCTAAAAGCGGCATAAGAAGAATCTGTGCACATAGGCGAATTGGAGGGCACGACATCGTTGCCCTCTGTGCGATGACAGCAGCAAGATTCCCTCCGCTACTCATGAGTTAGTGGAGCATAAGATAGTGAATATTGTTAATACTCGCGATGAATAGCCACACACAGCTATCAGGTCTTTGTTGATCCTGTATTTTGCCCCTCCTTCCCCGCAAATCCACAAGAAGGCCGACCATGTGTCGTTGAGCGCCGTCGGAAACGTATGCTCCGGCGCGAGTCGATAATCTACCGACATAACCACACATCGCGCCTCTGGCAGAGTGCTAACGGTGAGAGTTTACTCGCAACCAAGCCGTTTGGCTCACCCATGCATACGCGTGTGTAAAATGACTCTCCTGTTTGGGATGTTCCAAACAACCATCCGCCTCCATGTAGGTATATCAAAGCCGGCCAACCGTCTTTTGGAGGCTCGCCGTCGGGTAGAACAATCCGAACAGAGAAATCGCCCAAGTCAACAGTTTCTGTTGCTCCAACGGGAACGGCTTTTGCCTTCCCGGCCGTGCTTGAATTAACCATCTCGCGGAGCTGGGGGCTCCATTTCAGTGTGTAGAGTGGAGTGCGCGAGGCCGCGGGTTGAGCAAGGACGAAATCTCGATATTCGGGATCGAGTCTCTCGAGTCTCTCGGGAGGTATTGCTGCATGGTCGTCTGAACACGCTTCTACGTGGCTCATGATATTTTTGGATGGCAACGGTTGAGATTATGAGGAAGTCGTGGTATTTTGAGAGTGAGGCTCACAACTGCCAACGATTGATGATAGTCGAGGCTAGCTTATCGGCCTTCCAACTAACCATCTCTATTACTAAGATCGATACTGGGTGGTTCCCGGCATGGGATTCACGACTTTGCCTCCGTTTGCGATCTATGCCCGATCAAACTTCTCTACAATAATTATGTTATTTCATAGGCGACATAGGACTTACACTGATCTGGGTAGCGTACAGGCTCCAAATCATCGCTTTCGCTTCATGTGGAAAAGGCAGCCTTGATCGCTTCAACCTGGTCACCACGCATTCTTCGAGCCAAAGCACAGACCTGGTCGAACGGTAGCGTTTGAGTCAAACGGTAACCGGCTGCTTGACAATATAGACTTACTCGGTCCGCTGCTGGTGTAAGATGAGTGGCACCTAGCAAAGATTTAAGATCATGACTCGCCACCAATGGTAGCGATCGGTCAAACATACCTTTGTACATTGTAAGTGTGACTGGTACCCCATGCTGTTGCAATTTTTGAGCATATAGCTCTCCCTCGCTCTTCAATACGTCCAGCTCTGCGACGCCAATCCAAGCTGGCGCCAGATTTTTGAACACGGCTTCGTTTTCTTGTAGTAGGGGTGATGCATCTGGTAGCGACCTCTGTGCCGGGTTTGGTATGTATAAGTCGCGAAACCAGAACATGTCAACCGCACGCAGCGCATATATGTCGGCATATTCGACCATTGACTGTGTCCAGCGTGAACGGTCGTTCTCCACGAATGTACAATCCGTGATGGGAACCATAAGCGCTTGAAGTACGATTGGGATTGGGGGAGAAGCGGATGCAGCACGTTGTGCGAGAACGGCCGCAAGATTACCACCACTATTTATATTCCCAACTTAGTATATTACGATAAATAACGCGGAGGCTAGCACACTTACGCCGAGGCACCTCCTACTGCAATCCGATCCGTGTCAATGCCCAGCGCGTTTCCCCCCTCGCTCCGAATCCAGGCGAGTGTTATCCAGAGATCATCAACAGCAGCTGGAAACGGGTGCTCCGGGGCCCGTCTGTACTCAACCGACAATACTACACAACGAGCCTCTACGTGCAGGGTTAGGCAAGTCAAATTGGGTTAGAAAACACACTTACCAACGCACGCCCTTGAGTAAGTAGATAGTCCACTATCTGCACTCCCAAAAACCCACCCGCCCCCGTGAATCCATATCAGCACTGGCCACCCATGTTTAGGTTGAGTTCCGGGTGGGATCAACACTTTCGCCGAGAAGCCCCTAAGCTCAATAGTACGAGTTGATCTAACTGGGATGCCAGGAGCCTCCCCAAGCTCGGGCGGTTCGTCTTTTTCAGCCTGCCGGAACTTTGAGCTCCAGGCGGGATTGCGTGCTGGTTTGGGAGGGGAAGAGGGCAAAGAGAGGACAAATTTACGATACTCGGGGTCGAGCCTATCGAGGATGGTTTGAGGTATGGTGATACTAGTCGAAGTCGGTGGATTACTGGGCATTATCGTGAGCCAGACGAGCTGTTAGCTTGTAGTCTGGTAGAACTTCACCTCCAATTTATATATTCTTACTCTCGGCAAATTGTCGCAGTGGGACCAAG